AAGTTGTGCCAGGGCAGGTTTAGGTTGGACATTGGGAAAAACTGCTTCCCCGCAAGGGCTGTCAAACACTGGAAGGGGCTGCCCAGGGCAGGGGTCGAGTCCCCACCCCTGGGGGAATTTAAAAGCTGGGCAGCTGAGGTGCTTAGGCCCAGGGTTTAGTGGTGGGATGCAGGGTCAGGGGGAACGGTTGGACTTGGTGAGCTTAAAGGGCCTTTCCAACCTAAACGGTTCTATGATTCCATGAATGGCAAGAGATTAGAAATTAAAGAAAGCTTCTGACTGTTTATCTTACTGCAACACGATGACCTTTTTTTTAAGCAAAAATCAGGATCAACTTTCTAAGTGCCGATATGAATACACGTGAGGACTGAACAACAAAGACCTCACATACACCATGGGTACAGAGGGAACCAATTCTATCAAACAGCTCAAGTACAAGGAAATAGATTAGAAATTACTAGAGCTGGACATTACTACTGGCCATTACTAAAATCCAAAGATAAAAGCACTCCAAAAATCATCAAGAACAGAGAAACTAGAACAAAAGTGCATTTACCAGCAGCTCCTGGGATTATCCTTTCTGGGTAGAGATCTGTCAAGAAGAGGCTGTTTATTAATGTGGATTTTCCCAATCCAGATTCACCTGTGATTCAACATAAATTCAACATATTTACATAATTAATTTCAACTGTATCCAGACAGTATCAGCTAACTATACATTTTTTCATGTTAAATGTAAATTTTTTACTTTAAATATTTAGAGCTTATAATCCTGTATTAGAAAAGTTTGCATGCGAAGGTTGAATAACAATTTTTACACCTCAGCTTTATAATACACTTCCTCAGAGCTTTCACTGATGATTTGTAATTAAATCTGCTACTCAGGTGGAGTTCTGATCAATTTAGACTTAAAATTTCCCATTTCACGTCCTCCGATTTTTTAAGGCATGCTCTTCTGCTATCACTCCAGAATGTGAAAGATCAGATGCAGTGAGAAGCTAGATCCTGCCTAGGCTGTATCATCAATTTAAGCAACGAAAAAGGTACTGCTGAACTTCTGCACAGCCAGCCATCATGAAGTATGAATTTTTCCTGCTTTTTATGCCAATATGGCAAACAAGAACTCAAGGGAAGAGGAATGTGACATGGCTACTGAGCATACACACGTAGAGCAATTTTTACCCTGAGGAAATTGGGGATTGCCAAAGTGTACCATAAATATATTTTTGTTCTAGGGCTACTGACTGAGCCATGAGGGAAATTCAAAAGCCAACTAATTAGCTAAAAATCAAGATCTTAATCAGAACAAATGTTCATGGCGGAAAAAAGACCAGCAACTTGAAGTGCTCAGTACTTGAATTCACCGAACAAATCCTTTTCTAGAATTTTGGCTTTATTTCAGGTGTTGATAGAATTAATTAAAAAAATTATATGTTAAAAATGATGGCCGCACAATCCCTCTGAGTAACACAGGCTGTTCTGTAACAGGAGCCTGACAAAAATATCTGAACAAAGGACAAAGAAAAAGGAGATGGAATTATTTTTTCAATTAAGGTTTGACCAGGAGATGCCAGTTTTTAATGCCTCATAGAACGCATCTCTCGAGATCAGATTATACCAGTGCAGCCAGAGTAATTTGACAGTCACATGGCATCATTTCAGCAAAACCAAAAAAAGCATGATTTTAACCAGTGGCACATTCCATAATTTCAGTCTGGGTAAATATTACATGTAAAACAAATCGGTTTTCATAGCCACTGTCAAGGATTAATGAGAAAGACGTTATTCTAGCTGCTGGCCACAGGAGTTAGTGACTCTCAAGTGAAATCATTATTTAGATGAAGTCATAGCTTAATAATCAGAACAAACATGAAATTGTTATAACCAAACTGTTATAAGCCCGAGCTTTTCATAAACTACAATAAACAATAGCAGAAAAAACAATGCAAAGAAGAAAAACCTTTGATCGGGACTCAGTCAGTGCAGATAGCTTTTAAAGAAACATTCTCCTGCTCCAAAATTAAGCAGCATGGCAACTTAATGAAGAGTAGTATTCGATACAGGCATTGTGATATAGCCCACAAGAGAACGTACTTAAACCCCATGCATGTTTCAAAAGAACTCACATTCCAAACTGCTGAAATAATCAACAATTTAAAGCACAGTTTATTTTATCTTACATTGACCGCCTCCCTCTGCTAGCCTATCTGAAAACATCACTCCCAATTTTCAGTGAAATAACTTTTCTCCAAGTTCTCTTCCTGCAGTTTTCATTTATACCTTTGAATACTGGCAGGCAACAACTGTAAAGTTAAATTTTACTCCGAGTCGTGGGTGGGGTGACTTGCCTTTCTGTTACTCTGACACCATGGCATTTCCCCCCTTTTTTCTAGTTTACTAGAAGCTATAAACGACTGACTGGCCTATATATAATTTTACAGAACTTGCTGCCAGAACTGCTTCACGTAGCACTGTTTGCAATTGATCTCATCTGGAAATTAAGCTTGGCTACAGCAGAGAAAGCATATTTTTGTTTCTCAGAACTGTTCAGATTTGTAGGAGCACTGAACAGTGAATTCTGAAGAGTTACAATGATTTGAAGGTACCATGATTTGAACCACCTGCTCACAGTTTGGCTTTACCCCTAGATTTCAGCAGAGGTCCATTATGGTATTATATCTCCCGAGGTGCCCTCCAACCCTCGCCATTCTGTGATTCTGTGATTATCTTAGGCAAATCAAATGAAAGACAAACAATTATGATAAAATTCTAGGAAGACCAAATTAAGGGCCAACTCTGTCCAGCACTGAACTACAAAAGACGGAAACAGGACAAAAGTAATGCTAGGGCTGTCATTTGGCAAAACTAATGAAAGGTTTGAGGACAGACTCTTTCTGTAACTGCTGGAATCCAAAACAATTAAGAACTTAAACACCTCCTTTTATGCACCGCCTCACCTCTCCTGCTCATTTCCACTGTGATCTCTCTCTGACAAATCTAACACACAAATGGGATTTACTTCTTGTGACGCCAGGTAATAAAGAGCCTAATTCTATTGGGATTACTTTTTGCAAAAGCCTGTTTTAAAAGCGAGAATTACAGAGTTGAGACACCAAAACTCAGAAGTTACAGCTCCTGAGCAGTGTGACCGGGAGAGAGGTAAAAGATGCCCAAGCTGATTTGGTAGACTGCTTATTTTGTAAAAATAACACCGACTTCTCAGAGGACCAAGGTATTTCTGCAGACACATTAGATCATTCTTTCCATTCCAGATACCAATGCAAATTCTCAGTGAAATACTGAATAGAATCAAACTTTAAATTATAACTGCTAACAGAAAATCAAGATCAATTTTAAAAGTAACAGGCTCACATCAAACCCAACTAATTCAATTCTCATTCTTCTCTTACAAGCGTATTTAGAAGGGGTGGAAAGACCAGCATTCAGACTGTTTGGAGCTACAGAAGTATAAAGTACATTTTAGATAGAACAGTCTCCTTAATACTACACTCTTGATTGAAACATTGAAGTAAACAAAGATTGTATTCAAATGCAAGAACAATTTTAAACTCTATTTTAAGTGGAATGTTTGAATCCTGTAAGACAGAAGAGAAGGAGGGGAGTACCGATCCCTGGAGTGCACAACAAAATTTCTTCACTTCACCCACAAACTTATTAATGTTCACGGTTTGTAGTGTGGGAAACAACTGCTGCATTAAAAGAAAGTTGAATGCTACGGTGCAGAAGAGCTTTCTGATGCAAGGCAAAGTCTTATGATAGGGGAATTAATATTAATTTTAATTCCAAATTCCCTGTGAGCAAGCACTAATTTTGAGAAAGACCATAAAACGTTTCCTTACCAACCACCATAAGAGTAAATTCGAACCCCTTTTTCACAGACTTGCGGTGAACCTGATTGGGAAGGTTTGCAAATCCAACATAGCCAGGGGTTTCTGGATTGGTAAACTGAGCAGGCTGTTGCTAAAAATAAAATAAGACAATAATAAGCAACCACTCCAGACATACTTGTTTGTATACCTGCTTTCCTCAGTTATTTCACATGGTTTGAAGCTACATGACATGCAGAGAGCAAACTACACAGATGTTCCTACTACCCAACAGTTTCACAATGAACTACAGAACAACTGTATTCACCTGGAGCTTGGGGGGAAAAAGAAAAAAGCTTCACTTATTCAGCTACCCAGCCAAGATCGCCTTCAGTGAGAAAGAAACAAACCCCCAAACACTTCTTTATCGAAGTATGACGCGCATTCACTAATCACACACCTTTTAAACAGTGTCTTCACACACATTTAAAATAAAAAAGCTTGCGTCCAGTGTTTATGGGCTTAAATAAAACAGTGCCCATTTCTCATCTGCTTTTAGCACACCCAAATGAAAGCACTGAACGACAAGCGAAGCGGCGGCCATCTGCTGGAAGTCCTCTGTAGAGATCTCTTTTAAACGGGGCGAGGGGGAGGGCAATTTACAAAATATCATTTCAAATGCCCACTGCTACAAATACTGCAGAGCCATCTTTAGATCTGTTAGTTTGCCTCTTTGAAGTCATTACTCAAGTACCCTTTATCACTCATTTCACTCCAGTAAGCTAACATGGATGTCCCACCCATTATACCAAATGCAAGGGACCAAGATACAGATGAATCCCAGCATGTTGACAATATTTTAAGTTACCATACTGTTTATGAAGGATTTTTCCAGAAGATCAGTTGACTCTGTTAGTAAATGAAGAAATTAAATCTAAGACCATCCTTTTCTTAAATAATTCCTGCTCAAAACACGGCAACAGAATGGAAGGTTCAATGAAAATGCACCAAGGACCTTGTATGCAACTCCATGACCAAAATTTAATCCTTCCAAGAGTCTTAGTTAACTGCAGAGGTTCATGCTTGTAGGAAACTACCTTAACATACGTTTTACATCACTCAGTCTTTCAATAGTGTGTCTTCTAAACATGAATGCTCTTGTATTTATGACCCATAAATTTAGCACACATGTCACCATCAAGCATGATGCAAGTTGCACATTCAGATGCGTAGATTAGTATTTAAAAACAAAATGTTTCACATTGTTATACTGGAAGACAGAAATGTTATTCTTACCTTAGACATTTTTGTGGAAGGTCGGGAATGGATCTGGAAAAATAATAATGTTTTCAGCTTATTACAAATCGTAGAAGAAAAAACCCCAACAAAACACAAAGCAATATCATATCCACTGGTGCACACTAAATTAAAAGATGCATGAACATAGGGTGCTAAAGGCACGAGATGTGTGCACTAAATTAAAAGATGCATTCTTGATGGGATGTCCAGATCTTGTAACAGTACCAATTGCTTTACAGAGTGCAAGTATGTGACCCTTTGGTATTAACGAGGGACAGAATTTTCAGCAACCACTGTTCCTATTAACATCACTGGGCAATAAACTCCAGCAACATGAACATAGGGTGCTAAAGGCACGAGATGTGTGACAAACCATTTTAAAGCCTGAAAAAGTTCACATCCTTCCCAGAAACGAACCAAACCAAACCCACTGCTTAAAGACATTGCACTCTTGACAGGAAATGGTTTTTTCAAAGCTCAAAAAACCAACTCATCTGTTCGTTTTTCTTTTTAACCCCCTTCCTCTCAACATTTCCTTTCATGCTCGAGTGTCCTGTAAAGAGCTGATAGCTTCAGAATGAAACATTTTCTCCTCCTCTTTCATCTGGATGCTTGCAAACTCAGTCATTTTAATTTCTATTGCCAAGACAAGATTCTCACATGAACTGCATCGCTGTGAGATGCAGACAAAGCAGACAGGAGAGGAAAAAAAATAATCTCTCACCTAACACCTCCACGCAAAAAAGTCTCTCGACAAAGACCCATCAACAGAAGAGAACTTCTACCACACTGAGTTGCACGAGTTTAAGAGATCGTACAATTTATTATGGCAATATAAAAATGTCGGCATATGCGTATGTGATGCGTGCTCCAAGTCCCCTTTCTAGTCCCCCCTCAGCTTGCCCTCTAACCAAAAAGGTATCTGTTCCCGCTCACAAAGCCCACAGGCCACAGCCACCCCTTATCTGTCAGGCTCACTCCCACTCTCATTCTATGGATTTGAACCTATTGGTGTCCGATTCTTTCTGCCTTCCAAGCAGATTTGTGCCAGTTAGTTCAGCTTCAGGTGAAATGACACCAAATTGCTTCAATGTACAGCACCCCCCGCCCGTCCCTCCCATCAGAAAGCCATCCTGAAGGCCAAGCACACTGCCAAGTGTCAGAGGGACAGGAGCCCAGCCTTTTTTGTGCTAGGCAGAAGGCAAAGCTGTTTGCAAACTGGCGATGATTTCCAGCAGCTATGGCATTTGCTTCTCAAAGCTACTGTGTATGTGTATATATATACGAGTGCAAGCTCCTTTAGGTTTATTAAGATGCAATTTTTTAGATGTGAATTTTTAACAGTACTTCACTGTTCGCAGTTACCAAGCTGCTTCCCCCGGGCCGGTAAGGAAGAGTCAGGTTTGATGGAAGAGACAAACGAAAGGTGCCAAACATCGAAGCAATTTGGTGTTGTTACAGAGGAAACTGAACTTGCTGACAAAAAGCCAGCATCCTGATTACACACAGGGAATAAAAACTGGGTAGCATGCTTCTTAAGTAAAATTTCACGCTAAAAATAAAATCCAGTCTGTGCGATGTCTGTATTTCGGTCAATACGCTGGTCTATGACCTGTGAAGTATTCAACTACTGAAGAGGTTATCTGAGACTTTTAGCACCATGCGAGACTGCTCCGATAGCAACTCTTCCAAGAGTGTTTCCTGCCGAGTGATGTCATTGATCCCTACTTAACCATTCTCCGTGAGAGATTTTCAATGCCAAACAAAACTAGATCCTGCTAGAACACAGAAGAACATTCTTTTAATTCACCAGGCTTGTCTGTCACCCAAGTATTTCTCAGAGGCAGGCTAAGAGCAGAGGAAAGTTTCTCACAGCTACCAAGAACCTCAGCAGAGCTGATTATGCAGACGGCTGCAGTTACGCTACGTTTTAACACACGGACCAAGCACAGGAATCTTTCGTGAAGGATCCTTCCCGCAGCGCTCCCTTCAGGGCAGCGGCTGGGCGCTCCCACGCAGTCTCGGAGCAGTCCGGCTTTTCCTCTGGAGCTGGTCGATCGTGTTCCTCACCCGCCGGTT